TATGGGGTGTACTCTGCGGTAGAATATCATATACAGACATGTGGTTACTGCTACGGCCTGAAAACTGGTTATTGATTGATAGTGATCAATAAAATTTAAGGTAATTGACTTTATAGCGAAAAAAAACCGTTCCCAAGGTGATAGAAGGGTAGATTTTGGCTCCTTTAATGGAGCTGAAGTATCATCAAGCTCTGTCTTTGGAAAAGTCGTGACTATGGTATGGCTCAGGTGGTAGTGAGTTAGTCCATGGAGAAAATGGTCCCTGGTTCGATGCCAGGCGAGGGATCGAGTTTTGACGACTCATACTTGAGCACTTTGCCGCTGAGTGAATACAGCGAAGGTTCACAGAAAAACTGAACACTCGTCAAAATGTGCTCGGATGGCGCAGGTGGTAGAGTCACGGTCTAGCAGTCTAGGGGTCATGGGTTCAATCCCTGCGCATCTCAAGGGTTTTGAACATATCTATTGTTATTTCAACGTCTTGGCAAAAACGAAGCCTCATAGAGGGCTTCTCTATGCTCCTGTATAATGTGTCTGGGTAGCTTAGTGGTTAATGTGCTAGGCCGACGAGATGGAGTTCAGGGGTTCAATCCCTTGCTTGTTGCAATGTAGGTCAGTTGGTTACGCTGTCTCTCTTAGAATTCGCAAGAGGTTTTACCTTTAACTGCTCCTGCAGGACGCTGAGTATTAGACGTACGCAGCCAATTTATTCGCTATCCGAGGACATTTGGCTGCGTACCTCGTCTGATACTCAGCCTGAGTATCAGTTTACGCAGCGAATTTCTTTGGTGTCCGAAGACATTTTGGCTGCGTACCTCATCTGATACTCAGCCTGAGTATCAGTTTACGCAGCGAATTTGTTTGGTGTCCGAAGACATTTGGCTGCGTACGTCTGATACTCAGCGATACCCCGCCTCCTAATAGTCTTCTTCTCTGTTTTCTCTCCAGCTTAGATTTGTATTCGTAGTGGAACTTGGAAGATGTACGTAATACACATTGGCCACATCCAAATGCATAGAAGTGCGATGTGAACTTGTGCCAGATGAGCTGATGCTACCGTACCTGGAGAGAAAATTCTGCGCACAAATCCGGGGTTTTTGGTTTTTGCTGGCGGATTTGATCAGGGATCGTGCAAACGACAGGCTGGAGCTATACCATTTAGCCAAGGAGGACATGGTATCGACATCTTCTAAAAGTGTCCTGTATACGCTCGGCGGAAGGGGAATTTTACTTGATTACTTAGTGTTTTCTGATGAATAGATCCCGAAATGGTACATTTCCAGGAATTGACCATAACATGGCTTCTGCATAAGGATTTTTCCTTCTCTAGCTGATCTTTTTCAAGCTCAGCAGCTAATGTATAACTCGAGAACCCTCGCTGCCCATCCACTACGCTGGTATGTATTGATTTACCTAGCTGGTCAATGAAAAACTACGACTTGGTCTCCCACAGGATTCGATCCCGTGACCCTTTGATCCGTGGTCCAAGCGCTTACCACTGCACTATGGGCGTTTGTTTCCAGCCGTTACATACGCTATACACAAACGTATCGGGTGATTGTGGTCTGAGAAAACTGACTCCTTGCCAAAAAATCGTTGCATGAACGGATTCCGAACCAAAAAGTGAAAGTTTGGTAACCAGACTTTAACCACCTGAGTCACGCTGACTACCATCGCTATCCCCGGTTTTCTTCAGGATTTTTGCAGAAACTTTTCAGACTTCGTTCTCTTATGTTTTTGAGGCAGAGATAGTAAAATCAATAAGTCAAAATGATTTATTATTAAAACTGTCGGATAAGAAAAAGGCAAAGTACGGAAAACACGAACCCTCACAAATAGCTTCGAACATGGATGTCTTCGATCTTTATCCATATCAGAAGCGACATTTGCTACGTCATTGTCGAGATTTTCTTCGTCGAACAGAATATCGGCCATTTCTGAACATGTGACCTCAAATCATCGTTGAATCGAAGGAATTTCAAGAGCCGACAACCTCATGGAGTCCGGGAACTGCTGAAAATGGTAATTACTGGGACCTGCACTTCGTATTTATCTTTGAGAGAACAACAAATTCATATCAATTTTAGACATTTGTAATAAG